CACCGTGCTCATCACGGAAAGAGTTGCTGGATGAATAACACGGGACCTCCAAGCCAGCGAATCGTTTCACCGAGGTGACGACTGTGCCTGGGGTTCGTGCCCCCAGACCAAGTGCCCCGAGCAGAGGTCCCAAACTGGTGGAGGGGACAGTCAGCACCCTCGTGCGCCCGTGGACTCGCTAATCCGTCCGAATACCCTCTGGGACCGTGAATTGCGCGCGCCCGCCCAACGAGTGGGGCACCCGATCCTCCTCCTCCTCCTCCTCCTCCTCCTCCTCCTCCTCCTCCTCCTCCTCCTCCTCCCTTTCCTGGATTCTTCTTACTTATGAATAACTCCTCCTTGTCGCACTCCGAGGCTGGTCGAAAGGGCGGGCCAGGCTTTCCGCCAGAGACTTCCTCACCACGTATGATCCTGAGGCTTAGCATGTGCAAGAGTTTTACGAATTGAGGCCGGTTCGTTTTCGAAATGTGGCTCGCGCCTTACAGCGCACATTCGTCTTCAAAGTTGACAAAAAATTACATTTAGCAACAAAGAAAATGTCCTGGATGGCGGGTGGCCCGTTTCCAATATGTGGCTCTCGCCTTAGTGCCACGCATATTTGTCTTTCTCGGATTGAGGACGGTCCGTTTTCAAAATGTGGCTCTCGCCTTAGCGCTGCGCACATTCGTCTTAATAGTTTGCAAGAGCTTCACGGATGGAGGGCGGCTCCACTTCAAAATCTGGTTCTCGCCTTAGCGCCGCGTACATCAGTATTACGAGTTCGCGCAGTTTCAAGGAGTACCACGACTAACGTCCCAGAGATGGTGTTGTGGCACGATGTCGAAACATCAGGGCGCAAGAGTCAGGTTGATCCGTGGTGTTCACGTCCCAGGAGTGGTGTTGGGTGTGTTGCAATACCGTTGATGAGTCTGGGAGATTTACACTGATCCTCCTCCTCCTCCTGCTCCTCCTCCTCCTCCGCCTCCTCCTTCCTCCTCCCTCCTCCCTCCTCCCTCCTCCTCCTCCTTCTCCTCCTCCTCCTCCTGCTCCTCCTCCTCCTCCTCCTCCGTCTCCTCCTCCCTCTTTCTCCTACATGTATTCCCCAAAGGGTTACAGCAACGGCTAGGGGACCACGTAGTCGAATAGCTTTGCAAGACTTCGGCCTGACGTTTGGCCACGCATGCATTTCTAAAAGGCAGGGGGCGGCGGTGGTTCGCCCTAGGCATCTTCGGCACTAAGAAGAATCACTCCACCTCCTCCTCCTCCTCCTCCTCCTCATTATCCTACGCCTCCTCCTCATCATCCTCCTCCTCCTCTTCATCCTCCGCCGCCTCCTGCTGATCCCCATCATCTTTCAACGTCCTCGTCCTGCGCCTTCCTCATCCACCTGCCCCTTTTTTCAACCTCGTTCCTCATCCCCTTCCGAAATGAAGACGAGTTTGTAAGCCTGAGACACTGGTTCGAAAGTGAGGCCGTTTGAGGCGACACCGTCGCCCTGCAATCCTCCATGCATAAAGCATATCATACAAGCGATTGCCCGCCAACGGGCTTCGCAACAAGCGCAACGTGGCCTCGCTGCTCAAAGCTCGAATTGACAGCGCGTAGCGGGGAGTGGGACGAGGGTTCCTGCAGTTGGGGCCGTAGAAACATTGACTGCAACACGATGTGCACTGATGCCCTGTTTTTGCACGCTGCGCGCCACACGACCCAGGGGCCCTGATGGGTGCTGGCATGGAGGCAACAGCTGGGGGAGAGGAGCACGAGGCCAAGGGAAGGAAAGCCGAGAGGAACGCAGCGCTGCTCCACACAGTCTGGACGAGGGCATCTTTAGAAGAGAACTGCATAAACGTAAATTTTCAAAGGTCCGCGCGGATAGGTGTCCTGAATCGGCGCTGGCCCCCCCATCCCAGGCGCGCATGAGCGCGCCAGGGGCGGCGCCAGAGGCGCCTCCAGCGCCGGTCCAAGAAATCCGCGCGGACCTCCGAAAACGTACACTCATGCAGCTCGTTTCCTTCTTGGGCTCCTCCGGAAGTGCCCTGGGCCCCTTCCCCAGAGGCATCTTCCCAGGGCACCTTGGACGGCGCAGGGGCTCCCAAAGGGGCGCGGGGGCCCCCGCTGAACCCCCCCCCCCTCCACCCGCTGCGCGCCGCCGATCTCTCGGGGAGACGTGAGACTCGAGTGTCTGGTCGGGGTCGGACGGGAGGGGGGGAATGGCAAACGGGGGGGCTGGTAGGGGGCCACATGCGAACCCTACCCCTACCCCCCACGACTTCTGAGGGGGAGGGTGGGGTTCACTTCGTTGGGGAGCTCCCGAGCAAAGTGAACCCCACCCTCCCCCTCAGAAATCGTGGGGGGTAGGGGTAGGGTTCGCATGCGGCCCCCTACATGAGACTCGAGTGTCTGGTCGGGGTCGGACGGGAGGGGGGGGAATGGCACACGGGGGGGCTAGAGTCGGCTACGCCCAAAAGTGACCCTAGGCAGCAGTGGCCTTTAGAGCGCGGAGTCAGGGGGCACCAGGGGG